AAAAAATAAGTTTTACCCACCTTTTAGAGTTGGAAAAAGTCAAGTAGATCGGAAGAATAAAAAGGGAAGATAAATACCAGAGTTCCCTCTTTCTATAACACGCAAACGTGGCGAGAATTATTTTCACAATCGAGAAGCGTTTCTGTAAATGCTTTACTATATAATCGACCCATTAAATTTCTCTTGTCGTATTTTCATTTTTTTTTTATAACTGATAAGAAAAATTTACAACACGATTGCACAAGTGAAAATTGTAAGTTTTACTGATTTCAAATGACACGCCATTACTTGAAAACTCATTATTATTATTATTATTGTTAATATTATTCGAAGAAAAAAGAAATTTATGATATTGTTGATACACGAGATGACTATTAAAGTTAATGTGCAGGGTTCTTCTTGGCATCAACGAAAATGATACTTTTCGTGACAACGAACAATGTAATACATTATGCAACACTAGGTTTTGAATTTTGCATAATTTAGCAATATATTTAACCAGCAGCTCACTTTCTGTGATGTTATAATCGGACAAAACTTTAGATTCTGTCTAATGATAAATTCAAAACTAACTTCCGTACTGTTGCTTCGGTTATACCGAGCTATATATATATATATACCTATACACCTTTTGGCAAATGGCATAAGCCTTAGGATAAGAGGTTATATATCGGATCAATGTAGTTTAGCAGCCCATGAACCTATACTCGTTATCCACTAATTGATATAGGGTAGATGTAAATTTTGGAGAAAATTTCTAGAGTTGTAATTTTGCTACTTGGAAAATTTCAAATCAAATTTCTCCTAATTGTATTTACTGCACTATTTATTTTTTGTTACTTCATTATGATAATTTAATTATCAAATTATTATAAATTAATTATTTTTAAATTATAATAATTAATTATTTTTAAATTATAGTAATTAATTATTTTTAAATTATAATAATTAATTATTTTTAAACTATAATAATTAATTATTTAAACACTTTTAATTTTCTTTTTTCGAATCAATTAAAAAAGAATGCGAAGAATCAGCGACAAATTCCGGCGACGAAATGAAGACGAGATTCGAAAGCGACATTCTTATATAGGAAACTGGTGGGGGGTGAGGCGCACTCGGCCGGAGCGTACTGGCCGACTAGAACAGGGAGGGGATTTCCGCGTTTCGTGATTGGCGGCGCGCTCGAATATAAGACCCAGTGGCAGCTCGACGAGAGCTTCAGTTCATCTTAATCGTTTCTAGGCGTCAAATCTCAAGGTAATAGATAATTATTTTCTATAATTGTTTTTCCGTTAATCCCCCCCTCCCCTCAAAAAAATGGTGTTTACTAAATGTATTTAATTTATAAATTTTTATCTCCTTTCTATAAAATGTTATTTATTTACAATATTTTAATTACATAATGATCTAATTTAATTTATCTTAGTTAATTTAATAATTATTTAATAGTAAGTATAGTTATTTAATAGTAAAATAGTTACATTGATAAGTAAATTTAAATAACGATTTTACTATTACTTTTTTTTATCTTCTGTTTTGCAATTTTATTTAGAATTCAAATTAATTTTAATAAATAATTAATATTGTAATTAAATAATGAATCATTGAAACACATTTTTTTTCTTCAGTAAATCTGATAATATATTTATGATGACATGTGCTATTAGAAATAACCAAAAACCATGTTAGAATAGAAGCAATTGTGAACTTAATATTGGAGAGTTTTTCTCCTCACATGAACATTAAATTTAATGTGCATGTGCTACAGGATTTAATATGTTGGCACATTAACTTTAATGTCCTCACATGGGAAAACTTCCATTTACGCACACTTAGAAAATAATTGCTATTTCAAGTTCTTCCTCCCCCCGTGTTGTTTTCATATGTTAAATCACAAACAAGCAATAATATAACAAAAATATTTTTAATTTTGATAATAAATATTTATTAAATTAGAAAAAACAGTTTGAATATAAATTTTGTAATTTTATTAAACATAAAAAATTTTCTTTTGGAAAAAAATATTTATAATTGAGCACACCTTTTTTTGTGTTAGTGAATTTTATTGGGAATCTTAAATAGTCGTTTAGTTTATAAGTGATCGGTTTCCTTTTTTATTTTCATTCTCTCGTTTTTTTTTTTTGAAAGGGAGAAATCAATGCTTCTTGAAATGGGCGTTAATACTGCCTTTATATTTCCTCTCGACACCTCTTCACTAATTGCTCCTCTTATTTACGAGGAATAATTGCACTTACTAACACAAATGTTCACCGCATATAGGTATATATACATTCATATATAGTACGCATGAGTAATTCCTCTTTCATATTTGCTTGTAATTACCTCGAGGGTGCGTCAGAAACACTCGGCTCACTCCCTCTAGCTTATCACGAAGACTCTGAACCGTGATTATCAAAATCCTGTGTACATTTAATTTTATCATGTACCAAGATATTTCCATAGAAAAAATAAATTTTTTTCTTTAATTATATTAATTTTAAGAATTATTTACTGTTTAATAGCTTTAACTTTATTAGTCATGTAAAATTTGTTATTTCGCTGTTAAAATCAGTTTTAAAATGAAAATAAAAAAAAAAAAAGAAATTGATTAATCAATTTCGCGGTTCGTCTCGTTATTGCAAAGAGAAAATATAAATATTTGACGTGGAAATTCTGCAATTAAGCCGTCCAGTGCACTTGGCAGTATATTAAGTGAGGGAGAGAGAGAGAGAATTTCGTGATGTTTGTTGTATGGTGCCAATTATTATTCTCTCTTCATTTTAACAGAACTAGTTTTAGTTCCAATAACGAACTTTTGCTTTGTTTCAACTGTGATACATTATCTCTGTTGTTATAAATAATCCTCCGGTTTTTCTCTTTTCATATATATATGCGGTAACCGACTCGAAAAAGCTTTTTCGTTAGTAAATTTTACGCTCTGAGAATAAACATCACTTTCAAGAGGGGGTGGTACATAAAAGTGAAAGAAAAGCGTTTTTTTTTTATCCATTTGTCTAGTAAAAAAAAATCCTATTGCCGTAGTCATTGCACATATCCAACTACATAGAAGGAAACGAATTTTCTTGGAAATTTTTTTTCTAAAATTGTTTTAAAAAATTTTAATTCTTTATAAATTGTGTCAAAAATATTTTATTTCATAAAATTAGCCTAAAAAGATTGAAAAAAAATGATGGAAATTTTTTTAGAATTTTTTTTTTTAAATGAAAGTTAATATTTGTTGAGAAAGTGATTTAGAGATGATTGACTATATATATATATAGTGAGGGAAAGAATTCCTTTAATATATATGTATATCGAAAATTTCAAAGTCAATAAAATATAAATACATCCATAAAAAATGAGAAAAAGTTAGACAAAGTTATGCCACGTTCAAGGAAACTTTGGGCATTGATGTCCTTGTTCCCGTTTGCACAACGTCAGTTTCTGATCCCATCGATCATCATTCTCGAAAGACGCTCGAAAGAGCCCTATAAAAAAATATATTCCTTCCTAAATCCTTTAGAATAGGGGTAAAAAAAAAACTCATTTCATATTTGTCAAGTAAATTATGTCACGTGCGAAAGTTATAATGATTTTTTAGCACTTGGATACAATTTCCAATTTTTCTAATATTAATATTATTGAATTTTTACGTTTAATTAAAATTGACTTGAGTAAAGGTATTTATTAAAAAAGTAGTTCATTTTTTTGCCACCGAGTAGCGCTGCAGTCGACTTTTCTCACAAGTGATGAATAAAAAGTCTCAAAAAAAAAATTTTATTTCCTTATTTAAAATATATTCAATACTATATAGGGTAAATGCACCAGTGGTGGATCAGGCACCAATGGTGGATCAACAGCGTTAAAAAGGTTAAAATAAGCTATTTCTAATTGAACTAAATGTTTCAATCGTTTAGGGGAGGTGTATAGATAAGTTTTATGAAATAAAATCATTTGAAAATATTTAGGAAAACAAAGCAATACAACAATTGTTGATTTTATGCTTTTTTACATGAAATCTTAAAAAATAATTGTTTAGTCTAAATTTTTTTAATTTTTAGAGTAGAAAGTAATCAATTCTTTCCATATAGAATACTTTTGGAAAAAAATTTACATCATTAAGTTATTTTTGTGTAGTGTAAAGGGGTAAATGATCCACGACTGGAGCAATGTCATTTTATTGTTGAATGTGGGTGTGAGGGGGTGTAAACGTTACAAGCAGGTCGAAAACTACACGATAGTGTCCTTGAAGACTTGTTAATTCATAGTATTGTAAAGATTACCCTATATTTTTCATCTGAAAAAATCTGTACACCTTTAAAATCAAAATTATAAATTTAGTAGGCTTAATTGATCCACCACTGGTGCAGTTACCCTATATTTTAAGAAATAATATAAAAAAAATTGGAAATTAAAAAAAGTGTTTAGTTTCAAAAAGAAAAGTAAGGGGTAAATATTTTTTTTCGGCCCTCTATCAAAAGTGTCCATTTAAATCAAATGTAAATTTAAAATTTATATAAAGGAGAAAAAAAGTTAAATTGAAAGGGAAAATAAATTGGTCCTTAAATCGATATCTATTGAGAATGTCGAATGCACTTTTTCAGTGAAGCTGATATCTGTCCACCGTAACAAATCACTATGCAAATTGGCCACCTAGAATATTCCCCAAAGAGATTTGAAATTCTACAGTGAGGTAGATGTGATCAGCATACACACTGTGTGCTTCACCTTCATTTTTTTTTATTCATATTACATTTTTCAAAGTAGTGGAAAATTTAGTGGCAAGAAAAAAAAATGTTGCAACGTTTTCGAAAATCCCTGTGTGATGGTGTTAGTAGAAAAAAAAAAAGTTTATCGGACTTTTTTTTTCTCATAGCAGAAAATCTTTCTTTCGAATTCAAGTCGTGTCTCGATGAAACACGAACTAAAGCTTCTTCCCCCCCCCCTCCATTGGAGAGAGAATATCTTTGGAAGAACAAGAATGATAGGGTACTTACCGGTAGGTGGAACAAATGCGAATAGAACTTTCCAGAAGATAGTGAGTGAGTGCATGAGGTAGTCAGCGGTTGATGGTGTCGAAGTACCTTCACCACCTTCGCCATTGTCGTCGCCTCCACTCACTGTCAGTGCTTCCGTAAATTGCTCTCTCCACGAACTCGTGCCTAAAAATAATTATATTAAAAGTTTAGAATGTTCATATTTCGTTAAAAGTTTTCTCATTATGAAAAAAAAATTGACGTTAGTTCACTTTTTCGCCGTTATTTGGCGCTAGTGGTTACTTTTCTCACAAGTAGTGATTTAAATTGTATTTAAAGGGCGAATTTATAGTCAATTTTTAGCTTAGAATTTGATCAGTACTTTGTTTTCCTAATTAAACTTAAATAAAAATTTAAAATTAGTTTCTTCTTTCGAAATTGCGGCACTAGTGTGCAATTTTTTCATAAGTGGTAAATGTTATGACACAGAAAACTTAATTCTACTCGTTAAAAAATTTTTTTTTTTTAACTTTTTACTGAATTAAATTGAAGAAAAAATTAAAAAAGGGCGTTAGTTTACTTTTTCACCGCTATTTGGCGCTAGTGGTAACTTTTCTCACAAGCAGTGATTAAAATTACATTTAAATGGACAATTTAGATTCGATTTCCGATTATGTCACCTAAAGGCACAAATTAAAAAAATTTCTCGCAAGTGATCAATAAAAAAAAAAATTAGTTATCACTATTTTTTCTAAAAATATTTTTACTTTTTTCCTCAATTACTTTAAGTTAACCGGTTACCTTTTTTTCCGTTATTTTATTATTAAGGTTACTCGAGACAAAAAATGGTTATTTTCGATGTTATTTGGAAAAAGTATTTTTCTGGAAAATAAAAGTTGCTATTTTAGTTTCTCCGAGTTGGAACGTAACAGTTTACGATATTGTATATGATATTACAAGTGATATTTGTGATATTGCATTGCAACAGAGATATTTTTTGAAAAATATATCTCTTCGTTTATTGCTTCACTATCGAGAATTATAAAGTTACTTTTTTTTTTATTTTCTGTTTTAAATATATTCACGAATAAGGAAAATGATATTCCAACAGTATAGACGATATTTTTCATCAGAATTACCTTTTTTTCACCTTTATTGCCATTTTTTTTTCTTGTCTAGAAGATTATCGATCTCATACTCTTTTTTTGTAATTTATCCCCTTCATTCTAGATTAAGAAAGATGCGAGATTCGTTTTATTTTCTACGTAAAATTCTCTTAAATATTGTCTATGATACGATATTTAACAAAATTGACACATTTAATAAAGAAAAATTACATTATTAAATAGTTATTAATTTTTATATATTTACTAATTTTTTAAATATTTATTTAATAATTAATAATTAATTAATTATTAGTTATATATTAATTTCATCGATAATAAATAATAATTTTAGAACAAATTTTTTTTTCTTTAACCTGAAAGTAGCTTAATTTAGGTCTAAAGTAAATGCCACAACAATTTTTTTCCCGAATTTGATAGAAAAAAAAAATTTTTTTTTCGTATAGAATTTGACATTACCGACTAAAATAAAAAATTCTTTTATTTTTAAAAATTTTGAAAGAAGTGAGAAGAATAATTTTTTGCCTTGAAATTTTCTTTATACTCTGTAAATCAATCGAGAGTCACACAAGAATTTATCCCCTAAGGGAATAAAGTTTTTTTTTTTTTTTTTTTTTTTATTTTTTTTTGTGGTTGAATATCAAATGGAGAAGGTGGCCCTTTTCTCACATCAGAAAACAAAACAAAAGAGGCTCATGAAATGCAAAAGGCTTGACTAACAATAGTCTTCCATGTGTAACAGACTCCATGGAATGCTCTTCTCTTTCTTTCTCTCTAAAATCCACCCAGTAAATGTCTTGAGCATTTCAAGCAGCCTCAATTCTCTAGTGCCCTAATCCTAGCGTTAAATTTGAACAAAGCTTTTTGCAGTAAAAATAACCCGAAAATCTGGAGCGGAATATCAATTGGGGCTACATTAGAAATTAGTTTAGAAAATGGAAATTTTTAAATACAAAATTTTTCATTTTTTCCTTTTTAATTAAGAAAAAGTATAATTTTAAAATATTCTATATAAATTTTTTTTTTTTGGTTGATTTAGTTTTTTATTATTTTAAAATATTTATTATTATTTATAATTATAATAATAATGAAAATAATAAAAGACTAATTTAAAAAATTATAATAATTTTAAATACATTTTATTATTATTATTATGGTTTTCTTTTTTTATTAAAAAAAAAATATTTTGTTCATACCTAATATAATTGACGCATTTGCTCTTTGGACGAGTTTGTCGACTGTATTTTTAAATTCTTTGGATTCCTTGATTCGAATTTGCGCACGATATATATCACCCAATTGCGGTCTCCCTCTTAACGCCATCTTTTCTTCTTCCGTCCTCTCTTCCGGTGATTTCATTTCCGCTGCTGCAGCCAATCCTGCTTCAGCTGCAAACAAAAATTCACATTTTTTTTAAAATTAAAGTATCTCTAGATATAACAGTGATAATTTTATAGTTAGTAGAAAATAATCACGAGTTATTTTATAAGAAATTAAAAAAATATTTATTTATAAAATAAATATTATTAACTACCATAGAACAAGTAGGGCAAGAAAAAAATAAAAAATAAATCCATTTTATGTCGCTAGGTGGCGCTACTGTAAATATTTCTCACAAGCGGTGAAAAAAACCCTTCACTCTTTATTGCAATTAATAGTATATTAAAATGTATCGTTTACTTTTAAATAAATAATTAAATAAAGATTGAGATAAAATAAAAAAAAAGTTTAGTTGTATTTTCTGTCGGCGAGTGGCGCTACTGTAAATATTTCTCACAAGCGGTGAATAAAATATGGAACTAAATTTATTTATTTTTTAAATAAATAAATTCCATTCACCGCTTGTGAGAAACGCCAACACCAGCGCCTCGCGGTGGCAAAAAGTAGAACTAATTTTTTTTTAATTGAAAATTTTTATAACAAAAACAATTATATTTAAAAATTAGTAACAATAAATAATTAATAACAAAATATATTCAATTTCAATGTCGAAAAAAATTGAAATATTAGAAGAAAAAAATTTTTTTTTTAAAATATATATACTTTTTATATAAAACAAATTTTTATACGTGATCAGATCTACTTTAAGGTGTCAATAACTGGTGCTTGATACGTTTTATCTCTCTTTCTCTATTCTTATGATTCATAATTTATATGACCTGACAAACGTTTTCAACGAGCCATACTCTCCCGGGGCGATGTGTATGCAGTGACTATCGATTTTTTTCGTGAATTATACTCGCGGAAAGGTCGTTACGTGCAGGCGCGCCGTCTGACTGTACACTGACTTACATCACTTAAGGATGTCGAGATCCGTAACCATTTACTTTACATATATACATACGATGATAACACGATGGAAATTAACTTTATATTAATTTTTGATAAAACAAAAATATAGGGTAACTTTACATTTTTTTTTGCTATACACACTATTTTATATATATTTACACATTAATAATTTAATACTAAGTGAGTTTACATTATTGCGCATACCTTTTCACTGCTAGGTGCAAAAATGTCACGTTTACCGCATACTCGGTCTGTCAGACCAGGATTTTTTATTATAGAAATAATTTTGTTTATTAATTTTTTTATTATTACTATTATTATTTAATTTTTAAATTACTAGGTGTAATAAGTCACGTTTACCATACACTCGGTCTGTCAGACCGGAAAATAAAATAACTCTAAGATGTTTATTTTGGTAGTTTATGGATAACCCCTATTTTTTTATAAATGTTTGTGTTTAGAAATAATGATAGCGGTCTCCTAAACCGCTAATAGTAGTTTAAGGATTAAATTTGTAAATAACTTAAAAAAAACTAATTTTCACTTTAATTATTTTAAAAAATGTTTTTAAAAAGTTTTTTCAATTAAATTTGTATTTGTTAATTGTTTAAAATTTTTTTTTCATAATTTTTTTTCTATTTAATTTGCAATAAAATAAAATGAAAGTGAAAATTGTGTTGACAATAAAATTATCGAACGCGAGAATAATAAAAGATGGATTTTTTTTTATCTGCTTTTTTTATATATGCATATTATGTAAAATAGAGTGATCTAGCAAGTTAGAGTATGATCAATATCTATCAGGATGACATGAGAGTTTCATGAAAATGAATACTTATCATGTTAACGGCAACATGAAAGTGCAATATAGACTATATATATGTATTAGTGTGCCTATATATATTTATAGTTTGCCGCCTTTAACAATTCCTTTAAATCATACAAGACTTGACAAGTAATTTGTTAAATTGTCCTCTATATATATATATATATATATATATATTTTTTTTTTTTTAATTTTGCCAGAGACACACACATTAAATTTTATATACGTATATACAAATGCATTTTCGCTTGTAAATAAGTAGTACACACTTCATTTGCCCATTTATTCCATACAATTTATCTTTTTACTATTTTACGACTGACATATTCTAATAATTCATTTAACATTCTGGTCTCTTATCGATTTTACTCTAATTGTTCACTGGCTCAATTATATTTATTTGTTAATTAATTAATTAATTATTTTTTTTATATCTTTTATGTTTTTATTGTTATTTTGTTTTTATTTAGAAAAAAATTAATTGGAAAAAATTTACTTTTCACGGGAATCGAACCTCTGATAGTAAAATCGTTTCACGATACTGTGCCAATTAGTACACTCGACCAATATTTAGTAGTTATTTAAATTTCTTTTTTTATTTTATTGTTATATTTATTGTTGACAATGTTTTCGTTATTATTATTATTATTATTATTATTTTCTACAACAATAATAATTATTATTATTTAAGTAAATATTTGCTCAGCTCGCAATATATATATAAATAAAAAAACAATTTACTCTTATATATAAGGAAATTAAAGAAATTCTTTTCTCGTGTTAAAAAAAATTTTTTTATTTGAAACTTTTCTACAAACACACATTTAAAGTGTTTTTTTTTATACCAACATAGAAAAAGTTTCGCGACATTATAAAATGCGTTCACAAGGGGGAAAACTCTCGTTCTATAACAAGTCATTGAAACATGCAAAACAAGTATTATGCTTTAGCTAGAAAGAGTTTGGCGAAGGAACAAATTACTATTTAAAGAATAAGTTCTTTTAACAATTTTAAAGATTTTTATATTTGCACGATAAATTATAATTATTTATATATATAATATGGAATAGTTGACGTGGAAAAATTTCTAGCAAATATATATATATAATGACATATTAAAATAAAGTTGTTTGGGAAAGTTTTTATAGTGATTATAAGGTAAATAAATTATTATTATAACTAATGTTCCTATTGTTAACTGGATTTCGTAAATAAGAAAACTGTTGAACTAATTAATATAAAGAAATTTATAAAATAATAATAAAGAAAAAAAGGAAAGTAATAATATTAATATATTAATAACTTCGTTCTACTCGTTAAGAAACTTTTTTTCTAATGTTTTACTGAATTAAAAGAAGAAAAAAATTGATTATATTTCACTTTTTCACCGCTATTAAGCGCTAGTTGTTACTTTACTCACAAGTGGTGAATATTATGACGTCGGAAACTAATTCTACTTGTTTAGTAACATTTTTTTTTTCTATTTGTTACTGAATTAAATAAACAGAAAATAAAAACAATTCCCTAGTTCACTTTTTTACCGCTATTTGACGCTAGAGGTTATCTTTCTCGCAAGTTGTGATTGAAAATTATATTCAAAGGGCTACATAGTCAATAAGGAAAATTTCATTAACAATAATAATGGTAATAATCATAATAATAACAATAAAAAATTATTATTATTATTATTATTATTATTATTATTTTATTAGTACCTTATTAATAATATGTTAATATTTAATAAAAAAAATTATTTTCTGGATATTGAGGAACAAAGTAAATTGTAAAATATATTGGTTTCTTGTTTGTAAATCAAATCGTAATATATATATATGTATGGGAAGTAGCATGTCCAATTTAGGAAATTGTGTTTTGGTAATAATGCTTTGTGTTTGAGTTTCGTGGCATTATGCATAGAAATTGATAGTTTCTCTAAACACTATATGGTATTTATGGCATGTTTCCAATGATCTTTTTCCTAGACTAATACAAACTCTATTTTTACTAATTTGTTAAAATACCTCTTGTTATACAATTTAGACTCACAATTACAAACAATAAAATTTCCGTTTATTTATTTTCCACAATTATTATTTTTTTTTTGTTAAAAATGTAATTTACAAATTTTCAATTTACAAAATATAATAACGTATAACGTAATTTTTTTTTTCTTCTACTTAATAGAAAAAAAACTTCTTTAACTGTTGTAAAATTATTTTTAAATAAAAAATTATTTTGTGTTACATATTTCTTTCTTGAGACAAAGAGAAAAAAAACACAAGAGATATATACAGGAAAAAAAGAATGTTGATTAAAAAAAAAACCGTGAGAAGACAAAAATTAATTCAAGTTTCTTTTGTATTTTGAGCTCTTCATTTTTCTAAGATTGCCTCGTGTGTTATGTTCGTATACATATATCGAATTTTTCTGCGTCTAATATTTTCCATATATATAGGTAGCTAAAATATGCTCGGCACGTATTTTTTTGAAATCTATGTCGACGATGAAATTTCCATGTCGATCACTGAAGAATATTTTTTTTCTTTATTTTGCAAATTTTCTATTATAAATTTTGTGTTATGAAAAAAAACTCATTTTTTTAAGGTGAAAAAATTTTTTTTAAAAATTAATTAATACAATTATAATTCTTCTAATATTATTAATTCAATGTTTTATTTGTGATTATTCGAAAATATTTTTGTTAATAGTAAAACTAGAAAAAATAAGGCAATAAGCTAAATATTGTAAAAAAAAATGCCTTTTTATTGACATTTTATTCACCGCTTGTGAGAAATGTTAACGCGCAGCGCCTCTCGGTGGTAAAAAATGCAACTAAATAATTTTTTTTTTAAATTAAAAATTATTTTTACTATTATTATAATTATTAATTACAATTATTAATAATTATTTATTATTATTATTATTATTGTTATTAGCATTTTCAAATATCGTTATAAACTATTTTTTGTTTCGAATATAATTCTATATTTAAAAAAAAAATCTCCTTTGAGTAAACAGTATATACACACATTTTCTTGAAAAGAAAAAACGAAATGCCAATTTTATGTTTACTATTGTTATGTATTGTTTACACAATTGAAAGATCTGAAATGGAAAACAATCTCGTAAATCGAATAAAAGAGATATTTGGTGTTCTGTTCTGGTTTTTTTTTTTTTTTTTTTTTTTTTTTTTTTTTTTTTTTTTTTTTTTTTTTTTTTTTTTTTTTTTTTTTTGTGAAAAAAAGAGAAAATTTGGAAAATTCCGATTTA